TTATGAAAGAAAAAATGGAGGAAACAAACTCTAAGCAAAAGCCTTCAAGGACGGGATCCTATGACAGGTCGAAGCACAACCCAGCAGCCGCGGCCGCCGCCACCCAGCAGCCACCCCGAAACCGTTACTGCCTCGCACACGCACATGTGACCGGAGCAGTCGTCTTACCCCAAGTAGAAAAGGGTGACGCAGGCGCACGACAAGACCCCTTGCACTCTCACTGAGCTCGCGACGACTCTGATGAGCTGGTCAGAAACAAAACAGCGGCCGTGAAGTGGCAGACAGGTCCCGGTTAACAGTTCATGTTTAAATGGGGGCTTCTCCGTGCTGACTGTCACCCCTGAGGTGCTCACTGCCACCTGTCTACGTCCACCCAAGTGGTTCTGGGCTAGTCGCTTTGTGCCTGGCCACCTGTGGCAGGCCTGGGTCTGCTCGGGGGACCTCGGGCCCAGTGAGAGGGCGCCCCTGGCTCCGGGGTGTTTACTTGTACCCAACAGAAATGCAAATCAGCTGATTTTTAAAACAGAAAAATACTCTGGCAAGTCCAGCTCCACTCATGGCATGGGACGCGTCGCCGGCACAGCTGAACCAGCCAGCAGGGGTCCCCCTCACGCTCGCCTCTGGCCCCGGGTCTCCCACCCGCTTGAAGAGCCCAGTGACTTGCTGAAACCGAGACCAAGGAATTGCAGGAGCTTTGTATTACTAAAACACAAATACTATTATTGCAAAGTCGTTTACGCAGAGGTGGGCAAATCTGCCTCGTTGGAGAGTCGCGGTGAACACTCTTTTCCCGCTCGGCCCACAGGAGCAGGGGCGCACGGCACTGTCCCGAGGACCCCGAGCACACCTGCGGGCTCTGTTGCCAGGACGCAGCTATGCCTTTGGGTTCGGGCGAGTGACGGCCCACATGCTAGGGCCTAGCTGGGCAGACGTGGAAACGGGAAATGAGAGAAACGCGCTACCCCGATCTGCTAATGCGGTGACCAGAGGCGAGAGTCCACCAGGGAGTCTTAAATAAATACCACGAGATGACTTTTAAATGACATTTAAGAAAACTGCCCTTAATCCCAAGAGCCAGAGGGAAGGAGGAGACAGAGGGAAGGAAGTGGCGTGGGAAACAGAGAAAAGCCCTCATCTCTGTCAGTCCTGGGCAGGGAAGTGACCCGGTGTGCAGGTGCTTGTGAGGGGATGAACCTCTCTCCAGGACATCACAGGGCTTACCAAGACGGCCAGCGGGAGCGGAATGAACCCCATCCTCCGGGCCACAGAGTCGCTGTAGTCGGTATAAGCCTGAGCAGAGGGAGAAGGAATTTGTGGGTGCTAAAGCAGCCAGGAGGCGTGAGTGAGCACCAGGGACCCCTCCCCCAGCATGCCTCAGAAATTATACAGTAATGGAAATGCCCCTAAGAAGGTCTAAATAGAAAGCTGTGCAGTTGCAACAGGACCACACTTCTCAGTCCTGTTTGTATTGGCCTGTGAATGTGTATCGCTGAGAAAGAGAAGGAGGGGAGTCTGTGCCCATCCCTAACCCACGCCCCACGCGAGAGTGCACCCTGGCAGGTGTTTCCACGTCGGGTGTGATGCTCACATTTTTCTGCCGGCTGCTAACGAGGTCAAAGGCAAGGCTGGCTCTGTATTCGCTGTAGACCTAGAGACAAACGGAAAGAAACATCAACCCACGCAGGCAGTGCGCAGAGGGGCAGGCTCTGCAGGAGGCCAGTGGCTGCGCAGCCCCTCCGCCGTTTCCCTAAGGTCAGGGTGAATCACCTCACTCTCCCGGGCCATGCCCACAGGCCTTTGGCAGTCTATGATCCTGAGAGTTCAGAACTGTGGGAAGAGCGGCCCTTTTTAGTGCACAATGAACTGTAAATTCAACGCTATATGGGCTGTGAAAAATAATTATTACTGTGGGCGTAGCAACGGGGACGCCTTTTCCATCTCAGAGGCGTGGACGCTGAGCAAGACGTGACCCGAGGTGCTCAGGAAATGTCACTTCCACTAGTGACGGACCATACCTACTATGGTCAGCTTAGTCTGAGGTGCTGAGAAAACGAGCCTATGAAAGGGCAGGACCAGAGGAGCCCAGAGAGCAGACGGTGACAAGCCCGATCGTACTGCACGGGGCGAGCGAGCAGCCCACAAGGCAGCAGCCGACGCCCTTGCCGCTGCGGCCCACCACACCGGCTGCAGCATGCTGGGGTTAGAGCTTTGCCTTTTGAAATAAAATTGTCAGTACTGGAGTGAAGACAAAGCAAAACCCCCCAACATCTAGAAAACTTAAGTAACGCACCAGGAAACTTTCTTATGTTTCCCAGCCAATGAACCTGTCCTGGAAATTCTACAGAGGATCCAGTTTCAACAGCAAACAAGCTCCTAGAGGGCCATCAAATGCTTTCACTGGAAACTGGTAAGCCTCCTGTCTTCCAGAACTTTTCAATCAGCTATTCATACTCACAGAAGGAAAAAAAATCTATTTTTAAACATAAAATATTTTAAAACTCTGGTCAGAAAAGTTTTGATAGTCTAATGTCAACAGCAACAATAGTTTTAAAAGTTTAAGCAAACAGGTTATGACAATATTAACAATTTATGATGATTCTGAGTTAGTAACACTCTGACTTCAATTACTGACCGACCCACTTCTCCACCCAAAAGTACCGAGCCAGGAGAGTTTCGTACTGAAATCTGCACTTTCAGTCAAGCACTAATTTTCAGAAATTTAAAACTGCAAGTCTGACTTGGATGTAGACTTCGCTGCTCTTCTCACAAATGCACCAGTACAGCTGCCATCTGACGACGGTGTGACAGCAGGCAGCTGCCAATGCCCAACACTGGCCTGCTGCCTAAATACTTACGTCTGCAGTGATGTCGTTGAACTTGGTGATGAAGGCATGCTTCACAGTGTCCACGGCGATTTCAGACGCGATCACCATACAGACGTCTGGAAACAACACCCAGAGATGATCTGGAAAGTCGGGGGGACAGAGACAGTTAGATCTCCCACGATGGACAGAATCCATAGTGTCACAGAAATCTGAAATCTCCAACGGGGAAAACTAGTTTTTAATAGACGGTTCTAGAGGTAGAACAAATATTCAATCATTTTTCGATACCTAGAGTGCAAAGCATAACCTAATTCCTCAAGAGTAAGGTCATACAAAAATGCCTGGCATAGAAGTAACTGGGATGACGTGACTTACCCGAGCGAGGGGCCACCTTCCACCCGCTCACCTCGGCGGCACCAGACGATGTCAGAACTCCCTGTCTATTCCTCAACTAGCCGGCGGGCCCCGCAGCGGCCTGGGCCTCCCACAGGCGCCACGCGCCCAGCACACGACGCACTTGACGTCGGGGCCCTGGGCAGGTGCTGGACACTGCCGCTGCGACTACTTCCCGCTGCCTTGATGCAGATGCTGATAAACAACCAAATGCACAGCTTCACAACGCATCTCCTGACTGCACTGAAATGCTAACAGGCGGTGGCTGAGTCAAAGAATGAGCAGATGTTAGGAAAAAGCCCACGTACTTTGGACCTGGCTGTCTAGAGAGCGGCACGGCGGCCCGCCGGCCCCGGCTATGGACGGCAGGACCGGAAAGAGCGGCGCTCGCAGCTCGCAGCACTCAGCCCTGGGGGACGGCGGCCAGAGGAGCCGACTCGGCGGGCGCCCACCGCGTGGAACCTGCCCCACAGAACAGCTTCTTCCGTGGCCAAGGGAGGGGGCAGCTGAAGGGGCAATGCTCATTTTATTCCATGGGAGAGAATGATTCTGGCTCCAGAGTCAAATGAAAACGCACTGTGTTCGCTAAGGGTTACCCACCTGGATTCCAGGAAAACTGCTCCATGTTCCTCAGACACACTATTAGCAAAAGCACGTAATTGGTGAATCGCTCCTTAATGTCTGAAAGAAAGCGAACACACAAGACTATAGTGCACGTAAATGAGGAGATATTTACGGACATACGCGGAGTATAGGGATAAAATGATTTTCTTCCAGCCGGGACCATGTGACGCCATGTTACGGGTAAAGGTCTGTAGACACCCCGGGGCCGTGTGGGAAGGTGCTATGTAGTCGGCCACTCGCTTCGCTCGCCAGCGTCATCCTAGTGTGGAATTTCCACTTCTCCACAAACTTCAAGACTCATTCAAACCCTCAGGCTGCTCAGACTGAATCATCAGATCCCTCCAGGGGCCTCTGGGGACGGTCGACAACTTTCCGTTTTACAGAGGGAAAACGGAAGCAGAGAAGAAAGCAGCGGCCACTGGCCACACTCAGAACCAGACTGGGTGGCTCTATCTTGGGACCGAGTAAGATGAAGTTCCTGGTGATACATTTCTGTGGCTCCACACTTCTCAGAGTCAGAAAGGAGGCCGTGAAGCACAGCTCAAAGTTCTGCGCACGAGAGACGTGAGGTTCACAGTCAGAACTCGGTTCTCGGTAGCAATGTGAGTGGTGTGGGGACGAGCCCAGGGCTCTGGTCGCCACAGCTGTACCATGGCGCCATACTCTGCTGCAGAGAAATTTCTGGATCAACGAGAAGCTTCAGAAATACGCTGAGGTGTTACAACACTGATAGTGTTTTCCCATCTTAAATATCCCACGACTACAGTGACCAAGACGGTAAGGAAATTTAGAAGAGACGCTGAGAGTAAGAGAAGGCCCAGCCCCGACTGAAAAGTCAGGACCCTCAGGAGCTACGGCTATGATTTAGGTCCGAACAGCGAAAACATGGCCTGAAGCCGCAAGAGAACATGCCTGTACGTACCGCTGTTGGACATCTGGAAGAGGTTGTTTTTTTCAAACTTCTTGAAAACGCTTCCCTTAATTTCAACAAACTGAAACAGTAAACAAAAAACAATTTCGTCATCACTGGAACAGTTTTAAAAATAGACGTGCTACATAAATAACTTCCCAGAGAATACATACCATTTAGGAAAAATGCTTTTATCCCATCCAGAAATTGCCCTTAACGCGATCACGGAACATCAAAAATACAAAATAAAAACCTCATACTTACGTTATTAGACATCATGATAGTAAGCAGTGACTTGTTGTGTGAGTTAAAAGCTACGTTGAGGGTTGTAGCTTGAACCATTATAAGGATCGCATGCAAAACTGGCGGTAAGTGAAGTCAAGGAAAAATCTTAGGTCTGCTTTTATGTTATCTTAATAAATAATATTAGAAAATCTTGATAGTGAATAATGGGGTGAAAAGATGATCTTTCTAAATTGCCTTAAGAATTTTATTATCTTTGGAATTGCCTGTTAGCTATGACTGACACAATCTGACAGGAAAAGATACACACACCCCACACGGGGCAGACAAAGCAGACACGAAGCTCTGCACCCCTCCGCCCGGACCCTGAGCCATTAAAACACCTCTGTCTTGTCCTTTGTGAACCCTGACATTTAAGACTAATGAAACAGGCCCTCAAAAACCTGTTAGGTAAGCAGAATGAACTGAGGCAAACACCAAAAGACAAGACGGGTGGATTCATTCTGAATTAAGATAATTTGCATCCTAAAATGCAAAGTAAAAGTCTGGAAGTGATTTTTCCTCCATGGTTCTTCAGGGGAAGGGAATGTAAAGCATTCAGAAATGTCTAACAATTAAGATTCTTTTTCACGTCATTTTTGAAGTCACCCAAGTTGCAGAAGTGTATGCTCATTACATGTGGAATAATTTAATTAGAACAGTAACTGTTTTACTCCATTATATTTTGAGCACGCTATGATTCTCACAGAAGTCCCCCACTTAGACCCTTTTCAATCTACATAAGAAATCACAGGAGGCCTTCCTGGGAATGGTCCTGACCCCAGAGGACACCAAGTGCGGGCAGCATGTGTGTGTGAGTGCACACATGTGGACACGCACGGCTTATACGGGTCATCTAGGAAAGCCTCATCTTCCAAGAAAAAGCTTCAGAACTGGGGGTTGGGAGCGTAAGAAGAAAGTGTCCAACATCCCTCCTGATCAGTTTCCTATTTAACTTCTACATGAAGTCTATACATCTTAAGCTCAAGGCTATAGTGATGAATTCTTAGGCTTAAAGGGTATTTCAAGAAAATGGCAGTGTAAGTATGAAAAGGTCCACAGGTCTAATGAAGGATGGACAAGAACATTATCCTCTCATTCTGAAGTCTTTCCCTAGTGACAGTCATACCAAGAACAGGACCGTTGTCCAGGAGACTGACAGGCATTGGTACCGGGGATCCCTCACTTTACAGGAGACGGAAGCCAGTGTCCGAAGCAGACATTCCCCACAGGCACACACGCTTTCCTTCTCCAGACCAGCTGCCCACATGAAATGGCGCAGCGTACACCCTGACTGCTGGGGTTTCTGCTGAGGCTACAAGGATACAGACATAGAGGACGGCCATGAAGAAGTGAGGGATCACCCCGATGTGGGCTCGCTTTCTTTCTTTAGGCTCTGTGGCTGTCCAATAGAGAGCATCTAGTATATCCTGTCCGAATGATGAGAACAGACGGTCTGCTACCTAGGGAAAGAATAATGACCGGAGAAAAGTGTTTTAGTTTTTTTTAGAGTGCACTGCTGTAATTCAGCTGCGCGTCCAGTGCTGGACATCTGAGTTCTTCAGTGCCTGGAAGGCCAGCTTTGCCTAATTAGCTGTGCTTGCAAGTAGCACATAGTAGCAAACGAAGGAGAGGAGACGTAGTCCAGGCCTTTGTTTCCGTTGCAGGGCCAAGGGGGATGCTAGTCGGAGTCGGGACCACCCACAGCCACGCCCACCCCATGCAGAGGGCGGAGCAAGCTCCTCCCGACTCAGGACACCAGCTGTGGCGGTGAGACAGCCCGTTAAAGGATCTGAGGGCTGCGTGGCGTCTGTGGAGACAGCTCCCACCAGGCCAACAATGCAGCTTCGGAGCAGAAAGCCAGCAGCCCCAAAACCTCCGTCACTCAGTAGGAAAAACCCCTTCCTGGCTAACTCGAAAGATCGACAGACCATACTTCTATTCCTAAAAAGCAGCAGAGGAGAATATAATTTGAGTCCCAAAAGTTTCTTAAATAACCTAGAATAGCTTATTATTTAAAATGCTTGTGGCCCTCCCTGGTGGCGCAGCGGGTTAAAGCACAGCACTAAGAAGTCAAAGCCGCTTCCGCATGAGTTCGACTCCCGCCTGCCCCGGAGGTGACCACATGGCGTGGCAGACCTCTCCTGGCCCGCCCGCTGCTCCCCTCAGCAGTGTGCTTCGTAGATCTGCCTGTTCTGCCCCCCACTCTGTCCCTGGTGAATGCCTGTTCTGCCCCCCACTCTGTCCCTGGTGAATCCTTTCACCCTCCGCATCTCTGGCCTGTACCCCAGTTCTGTATGAATAAATAAATAAATCTTTAAGGATCCTGCCAATAAAGCAAAGCATTGTTTTGCTTTATGTCACTGCACAATTCGTTTTTTATATAAATGCAGACTTTCACAGGCCCTAATTTTTAAAGTTCTAGAAGAAGGGACAGGAGTCTCCGATGACTTCATAAAGAAAACTTCCCTAGTGCTTGGCGACTTACATTCCCAAAGTGGGTACTGACTCGGGGTGGCGGTGGGTACCCCCCCTCCCTCCTGGGGCCCCGCACCCCAGGCGAGGCATGTCCTGGGCAGCAGCTCCTCAGGGCCTCCTCCTCAGGAAGGGAGCTGCCAGCCGGCCCTGCTCTGCTGGCCCCCAACCTGCATTTGAACAAGGCCCAGGCACCACCTGGAGGAGAGCAGGGTGCAGGCAGGCTGGTGGGTGCCGACCATGAGGGCATAGGGGGGGCGGGGAGGTGCACTCACCTCGAGCATGTTGTAGATGATGTAGAGCTTGATGACTGACTGGCCCCTTATCAGGTGGTACATCATGGAGTAGTCAACATAGTGCATCATGAAGTAGCACATCACCAGGATGACACCCTTCAGAATGTCACACACCTGGGCAGGCTGGAGCAAACGTCTGTCCCTGAAACGCGAGACGAGGAAGGAGAGCGTGAGGCTCTCCGAATCCCACGGGACACACTGGCACACAAAGGCGACGTTGGGCTGATTATTTTAAAAACTTCCCTTGAACGAGGAAGACGACACCGACCGACTCAAGCGGGTGACCTCTGCAGAGCGCAGGGGCCCCGCAGGGTCACTCCAGGAAGAGGACAAGCTCACGAGCCAGCAGACGGCGGGCGGCCGGTGCAGACGCTTTAAAAGCGTGGATGGTGGGGCCCTCCCTGGTGGCGCAGCGGGTTAGAGCGCCGCACTGAGAAGCTAAAGCCACTTCAGCACGAGTTCGATCCCCGCCTGCCCCGGAGGCGACCACGTGGCACACAGGTGACCCGCCCGCTGCTCCCCTCGGCAGTGGACTTCGTCTGTCGGCCTGTTCTGCTCCCCACTCTGCCTCTGGTGAAGCCTGTCACCGCCCCTGCGCCTCTGGCCTGTACCCCAGTTCTGTATGCATAAATAAACAAATCTTTAAAAAAAAAGTGTGGATGGCCACAACGAGTGAGGAGTCTGCAGCCGGCGCCGGGGTGTCTGCACCCCACCCCTCACTGTACAGTGTCACTGGGTGGCCCCGCACCCCGCGTGCTGGCCCAGGGGGTGCGCCTGGGGGGAGGGCCTGGCCGAGACCGAGTAACGTTCCAGGACGTTCCCTCGGTTTTTCGGCCACGCACCGTGGCACGTGGACACCCAGGCTCGCGGAAGGCGTGTCTGCAGGAGCCCCCACGATGGGGCCCCCCGGAGCCCTGCTAGTGCTGTCTGCACGGCTCGGCTCCGCCCTGGGCTGGGGGGTGGGGGAGCGCGGGCCTGGGCGTCTCGCACTAGGCGGCTGACGCCTCCCTACAGGCAGGGCGGTTCTGCTTCCTGAGAATCCTCCCTGCTCGCCGTTTTCTTACACCTTGCAGGGCGGCTAGCTACCGCAGAAGTGACTCCTGTGAACAGCTACTGAGAACAAGTCAGCCCGTTCTGCGCTCGGGGCTTCTGCTCGCACTGGCAGGTACCCCCGGCCCCAGCAGGAACCTGCGCCTCCAGCCTGCAGGAGCTGACCTGGCACCGGGCGTGGGGAGGTGCTGCCGAGACCCCCCTCTCGGCGCTCTCCCAGGGCGCCTGGCTGACCGGCAGGCCTGAGTGCGATCTGGCCAAAGGGAGGATGTGGGAAACAGCAAATGTCTGAGGAGAGGCCGTCCCGGGAAGTCTGGGGTGGGAAGGAGTAGAGTCGACGGGGAGACAGTGGGCCAGACCAAGCAGCCTCAGTGAGCCGGCCAGGCCGCGGTGGCCAGGGACAGCGCACCCCGGCAGCCAAGTTCCGAGCAAAGCCCTATCAAGGACAAGGCCGGCCCCTGCCGTTTGCTCCCTCCCAGGGCTCAGGCCCTGTCCAGAGCGGTCATCTCCCACCTCCCAAACACCAGCGCCGGGCGGCCCTTGCTCAGGGCTCTTCCCCACCAGGCGGTTCCCCACCGCCACTCCACGGGCCTAAAAAGGGAGCGGGCTCCGTCTGTGGCAGTTGGGGGAGACACATTTTTAGCTCAAACGCGAGAAGAGGTGCTGTTTTGCACACACAGGCTCCAGGCCACGTGCGCTGCGTCCTCCGGGATGGGACTCTCAGCACAGAGCCCGCCACGCCGCCTCCCCCCTCTGGGAAGGGCACTGCGGGCACAGGCTGAAGACCGGAAGTCACACTCCTCCGGGCTGCCTGTAACTATCAGCTGTCGGCTAGGAACTGCAGAAGACAGAAAGTGGTATAAAGACGGCCGTCTTCCCCTGACCCCGGTCGCATAAATTCGTATTAACGGCCAAAATTAGCTGATAACTAAGGCAGCAAACTCTACTTAGAGCTTCTGCTACTAGATTGGCTCTTCCTAATTTATTTAGTGAAGGCGATTTCATTTAAGAGACAAAGCACTTTTCAGCACCAACATCCACTGTGTTTTCTTCACAGACACGTGAAGCCAAGGAACCATGGGTTGGCATACCCATGAAGGCGTGTTCTGTTCCCTACAAGTCATTTGCAGAAATCAGAACTGGCGAACGCTGAGAACACGCACCCTAAAATAACAGCGCCAAAGACGACAGTAAGTGGACAATCAGAAGGAAGTGCGAACAGCTACCCCTGGCCTGTGTGTTAGGTGAGGCTGTGCCACAGCAGCTCGAGAAACTCCTTGTGCTACGATCCAGCTACTACATGGCGGGCGCTTTGCATGGTTCGCTGCCGTCTCCCCTGACCCCGGGGGGAGGGCACGGCCACCCGCCCTGCCGGGCAGAGCGCGGGGAGGTCAGCGAGCAAGGAGGCGGCGGCAGCGGGGTCTGCAGCCTGCGCTTCTCACCACCGTCCCTTCCAGACCT